GTGATTCAATTACCCTCTAATTTCCTAGTATAGCCATAAAAACTTTCAATCATTATTTATTTAATATATTATTTTTTCAAATTCATTACTAAATTCTTGAAGAATATATTTATTAGCAAGAACAAAAAATAAAAAACATAATTGAGTTTGATATTAAAATATTATTAAATGATCAAAATCCTTTTTGTAGTGCTTGCATTACTCAGTTATTTAGTCATTTTATAAGTTATTGACAAATTTATAGTTTGATAGTGGCATGTATGTTAGCAAATGATGCAAAAGTTGTATTTTTAGTGTAATAAGAACTTAAATAATTGTAACAAGTAGTAGCAACACAGCTCAAGTTAACTTCATTTAAGATGTGATTGAGTGCTTTCTCTAGTCCAAAATCTATTCATAGTGGCTGACTAAGTGTGATAAGCTAACCAACTATAAAGAGTGAAAGATTGTATGACTCTAGAAAGCTCTAATTATGGATTAGTGGCTAGAATTTCATAAAAAAAATTTAGATTTAAGATATTCTTACATTAGCCCTAACCCTAAGAACAAGATTCTGATTCCAAGATTATTCCAGAAGATCCTCTGGGTGATTGTCTTTGTTCTGACTACAAAATAATTTCAAAGTTTATTCAAGAATATCTTAAAGAATTACCTTTCAAAAAAGTTAAGGATCAAAAAAGCCAAGATGTGGTTAATTTTATGACTAATGCCTAAGATTACCTGGGTATAAGATTTAATAAAAGACAGTAAGGCTGATGTGTTTAATCTTGTTATTAGTATTTATTTGTAAAGTATAATCTATAAATTATGATATATTATATTATATATTTGAATATTTTATCTACTATTTTAATTATTAATTATATAATAATATTTTTATTACCATTAATAAAAATTTTTTAGTATTACAAATCATGTACATAAAATATCATTTGTAGTACTTAAAGCCCACCAAACATCATTAGGTGCTTTTAATTTGTATGAGACCAAATCACAATCATTTTGTAAAGTTATATATGTAAAAATAAAACATTTAGGATTTTCACAATATTTTCCTATAGACCATAAAACTTCCCATTTTCTTGTATAAATTACTAAGTTACCATCTTTCTGAAGTATTAATTTACAGAAACCATCAAGTTTAAATACTAATGTTTCCCATATTTTTTTTAGTCCAGAATAAAGAACCAAATTACAATTATACTGCAAAAGTAAAATGTTTTTTTTATTTGGTGATATTAAAAAATGGTCTGTGTAAAGTACTTGATAAATTGGAAATCCACTATCAAGTGTACTCAATGATGTTTGGCAATTTCCACTTGAAAGAATACCATTTATGAATCTCTTTTTAAATAATGATTTGGACTTTTTATTCCATACCACTACAGCATATTGTATTTCATATAGAGATCCAGTTATTCGTACTGCATCTGCACCTTCCGTAGCCATCCTTCCATGGTAATTTTCAATTATAAGATTTATTTGACGTTTCATATTTGACCCTTTTACTTCATCATTTGGATTTGAACATCTACCAGCAGATCCTTTTATTCGCCTTATTGCCACGCAAACTGCACCTCTAGAAACAGTTACTAATTTAAAATCTACAAAATCAGGTGGATATAATTCATTGCCAATTAACCTTCTAGTAAGCTCGTAAAACCCTTGATTCATTATATTGTTAATATCTTGTTCATTTAAATTATGATCCTCATCATTATTTCCCCATATAATTGAGACTTGAAGACTAGATTGTATTAGTAAGAAAACACAAAATGTAAAGAACATAATTTATTCACATAGTTAAAGAGTACACTTCTTAAATAGAATAGAATTATGTAATAATTTATTCATTCGATAAAGCATACCATGTTTCCGTAATTATACAAGTGGCTTCGAGAGCGTGGCTTGCAACACAACTCCCAAAGTGTTCTGAATCAATGAAACGTTTTGGGTGGTGGTGGTCTATCCAGGCTGTCGAATGCTTGTAGCTTTTGTTTGAGAGCTCTCACATTGTATAGCACCAGCGCTCTCTCGGTGGGATTGAAGCCCGACGCCATAGCCAGGAGCCTGCGAAGCTCGGTTTTAACTTCACTGCACAGTGCCGAGAGCTCGCGGCTGCCACCGGTAGTGTTGTTGTTATTACTGTTGCTGTTGCTACCATCGTGTCCACACAGCTCCATGGAATCCTCCGCCGCAACAAAGTGGTGGAGATCGAGAGGAGTGTCGTCGCTTGTGTGCTGGAGAGAGAACACGTCCGGGCTGTCGAGCGGCGGCGCGAGCGCGCACAGATGCGGGAAGTACTTCTCGATGATGAGCCTCATGCCTTGGACGTGCTTGCAGACCGGGGCTAGCTCGTAGCAGTCGCACGAGGAGCTTTGCATCGCCAGCGAGTGGATGGTGTCCGGGATGATCTCGCTGCGCATCCGGAACTGGAGAGAGACTTCGTCGTCCACTTCCACCATGCTCACGTCCGATTCGTAGAGCTCCAGTATGTAGTCGCCGCCGATGAGTTTCTTTTGAGGCTTCGTGCCGACTTGAGAGCAAAGCTTTCCCGAGTCGACTGTCAAAGAAAAAACAAAAACATCACTCAAGAGAAATGCAAAAGAGAAGTTCTGGAATGACTAGAACTTACGTGCTGTTTGCTTTTGCTTGTAGTGCTCCACTAGAACTTCGCCATGGCGACCACTGGATGATCCAACCAGCGCAGCTAGTAGTCCCAGGATATTGCACTTGCTCCGGCCCCTCAGGAGAGTGTACTTTATGTAGCTCCAGACTCTCTCGGCGAAGTTCGTCGTCTCGATCTCCCCGTGCTCGGACATCCTTCCAAACTTTGGCCACATTCTTCTCCACACGCAGCCGTGTCCGCTCCACTTGAGATTTACGTGCTCGCACAGCGTTGGCTGGTCTTTGAACTTCTCTTTGAACGAATGGATCAGGAGGTCGAAACTGTTCTCCGTGGTTGCCAGCATCATCTGGTTGAGCGCCTGGTATACTTCTCTTCGCTGCGTGGGAAGAGCTTCGAGCATTAGACTCTCCATCCACTCGCGTCGGACTTGAGACCAGCACAGAAGTACGTGGCTCGCGACCTGTTCACCCCCGAGAATGTTGTTTCTCCAGCAAAATGGATCCTTGCTCACCGCTGCTTGCACCGCTCGAAACTCGGCCAGTGACTTTTCGATGACAATCGCGGACGGTCTGACATGTCCCAGCCACTTGAAAACCTCTTGGAGTGTGATCTTCAGTGCTACACTCTCGTCGGTGTCCGAGGAACACAGCATCATCCATATGGGAAGCTCGTCTCCTGCCTGGTTTGGAACTATACCCGCGTAGAGAGACAGACCAAACTGGTTGCCTCTGAGAAGCCGACTTACCACCCACGAGCTGCCCACCGAGAATCTCTTGGCACAGTCCCTCATCCAAGGATCCTGGAGCACAAGCAAAAATGGTCGCTTGTCCTCGTCCGGATGGTTGGGCGCATAAGGCTGGTAAAAGATCACCTGAAAGAAGAAAGTTTCTTAACCAAGTTCTCCTCAAAACAGTTGAGAGTCACCTTTCCTTGCGTTTGAAGCCGCTGTGCTTCCATATGTAACGCAGACCAATCGTCCTCACCAATGGATTCGACTAAACCACAGAAACACACCTTCGTAAGAGAAGAAAAGAAGGCTGGAAAGCTCTAACCTCTTGACTTGATCCTGTACGCGAGCTGCTCAACATCCTTGGAAAGAAGAAAAAACCGGTAACTGGCCTGCTCGCCTTCACTGGCCTGGAAGTAGAGGAACGGAGCTCTGCTCGCGGAAGCTTTCACCAAAGCCTGCACGTTCCCCGCATTGTCGTAGAGATCATGCTCACAGTACCTTATAGCCGACGGATGTGGCGGCAAAGAGAGCAAGTTCTCTTTCGTCCCCGGACGATGGCCGTCATGAAACGGAGAGAGCAAGATGTGAGCGAGTGCTTCGTCTCTCACAACTGTAGTCCCCTCGCCAGCCTGGATTGGTATCACCACCCTGATCCGAAATGGACACCCGATACGGCATGACTTCCTATCCCGGACCTTCGCATCCTTCGTTTCACCACCTCCTCCCAAAACTTTGTTGCCACGACCACGCTTGGAACGACCACGGTGACAAACGTAGTCCTTCACCTCGGAGTTCCTCGACACCTTGTCAGCTCGATCGATCCGGAGGAGAACTTTGTACTTGACAGCAATCTCCTCCATGGCTCGCGGGAGATCCCTGGTCGCCACCGTCATCCTCTGCGAGAACTTGTGCTCCTCCTTCTTCTTCCGCTCTGGAACCCGCGAGAAGTCACAGCCGGGGCAAGCGTAGACGCTCTCCTGGATGAAAGCGTCGAGGATCCCATACCGCCGAGTGTTTGTGCACCACTGCTGCTGGATCCTCTTGAAAGTTTGCTTCCATCCCAAGTGCTGACCATCTTCTTCTTCTACGTGAGCTCGCTGGAAGATCTCCCCCCACTGCTCGCGATATGGGATTCTAAGCGAAGTGTTGTCTTTGTGATAGAGATGCTCCTCTCCATCCACTGCCACCACCGCTACCAGCCTTTCCTGGATATCCTTCCACCGCGATCGCACTGCGGACTCCTGGCTTTGCTTTCCAAGGCTGTTCTTGAGGACTCGCAGCGGGATATCGGGATCGGCAGCACAGATCTCTTCAAAGGAAGGAGCTCTGGAAGTGAGGATCGACTGCGCCATGAGGTGATGGCCAGCGCGATTGAATGCGAAGTACTTGGATGTGGAGCTGTAGAAATCAGTAGCGTCCAGTGGCTTGCTTGGAGCAGCCGGATCCTCAAACTCGAGCTCTTGGTGATGATCCGAGTGAAATATCCTGTCATCGTCGTCCTGTGCCTGGAAATCGTATACGGCTTCCTCATCGCTGTCGTCTTCCATGGTAAATCGCGCGCGATCGCCACGATTTTGCTGGAAATGCGTACCTTCGCTATCGATCGATCCGAGAAGCTACATTGCTAGGGTTCTAGCGAAATTATAGATTTTAGGGTTCATATTTTCTATGGCGCTAGCGCTGAGGAGGCTCTCGAGACTTAGGCACTTCTCGACGCAGGTAAATCTTCGAAGCAATCCAGACGCTCGCGATCACGGCCCTACGGCTGGGAAATATCGTGGCGATCGTGGGAGTTCTAGCACGAAGAGCTCTGTTGATGCGCAAGAATCCGCCAAATTCGCTGCTCTTTCTGGAACATGGTGAGTTCTTCGCTTAGAAGGTCTAGAGATTTTTCTCTTTCTTTTGAAGATCGTTCTTTCTTCTAGGTGGGACGAGCTTGGACCGTTTAAACCTTTGCACGCCATGAATCCCGTCAGGCTCTTGTTCCTTCGCTCGGGGATGTGCCGGCATTTTAAGTACGTTTCTTCGTTCTTCTCTATTCTTGAAGTTCTTTCTCTCTTCTCTGTTCTCGATGTTCTTTTTTTCTCATTCCTTTCGAGTTTGTTTTTCTTTCTTTCTTCGATTCTTCTAAAAGGTTTGCTCTGTTCTTGAAGTTCTTTTTCTCTTCTATTGATTTTCTCTTCCCGAAGTTCTATTTTTCTATTCCTTTCGAGTTTGTTCTTCTTTCTTCCGTTCTTATAAAAGGTTTTTAATCAGGAAGGATCCCATTTCTCCGCGGCCTTTGGATGGCTTGACGATCTTAGATGTAGGATGTGGTGGCGGGCTTCTGTGCGAAGTAAGTCTTTAGTATAACGGGAAAACACCGTTGCTTATACTCACTGGGAGTTTTCTAGCCTTTAGCACGAATGGGTGCTCACGTGACTGGAATCGACGCCGTGGAAGAGAACATCGAAGTTGCAAAGCTACACGCCGTGAGTTGATTCCATACGGATTTGATTAGCTGTGTTTCATTTTTTCTCTTTCTTAGGCAAAGGATCCTTTGACTGCTACGATTGTGTACCAGCATACCACAGCAGGTTCTTCATTGCAGCATGAGTCCATCCTGTTTGATAATTGATTTTCTGAAACTTGCAGAGCAGCTCGTACAGGAGAAGCAGCAATTTGATATTGTCGCCGCTCTTGAGGTACGCAAAACGATGAGTCTTGAATTATTTATCTTCTGGATCACGTTGTCCTGATCATTTGGAATTTAAATCTCATGTTACGGCATTTATGCAGGTCATAGAGCATGTCGCTGATCCAATGGACTTCCTCCAGTCCCTGTCGTTGCTGACCAAGCAGGATGGTGCCGTAGTTATTTCCACGCTCAATCGATCACCTACATCATATAGCCTTGCAATTTTCGCAGCGGAATACATACTGGGCTGGGTATTGTTTTGTGATTTTTCTGTAGAAAAGCTGTTACAACTTACGTTTTCTGCTCCTATTGCGTAACCTCTGCAGCTCCCGAAAGGGACCCATGATTGGTCTAAGTTTCTGACCCCAGAGGAGGTTGCGTTACTTATGGAACGTGCGTCGCTAACTGTACGAGCTCTGGTTAATCTTGTTTTCCAACTTGTACGCTCCTGACACTACCAAACTTGCAGCTCGAGGAGATGACAGGCATGTTCTACGACCCGCTGAAGCAAACCTGGCGTTTAGCCGATGACTTGAGCGTCAATTACATAGCCTGGGCTGCCAAGCGAGGAGAATGATCGATGGAGCCGACGCGCCGCTCGTTTGCGTAAGTCAGTTGTTCTACTTTCCTGGGCTGGCTCTTGCTGACTGGAGCTTTGAGACAGGACGCCTTGCTGTTCTGAACAAGCTAGAAACACATAGTTCGAGGGAAAAAGTCAAAAAGAAATTACTCCGGGACGCGGGAAAAGCCGAATGCTTGACATATGAGTGGCCAACAAAGACTACAGATCTGTCGGGGGAAACTTTGAGTCACCAGTAGCAGGAAACGTGGCTTTAGGTGGAACTCTACTGTTAAAAGCGCGCGCACGCAGGACATCATGCTACCCATTGGTAGAAGTGGCGGAAGTTGGCATCGCTTTTGACGGATCTGGTGGGGTTGAGAAAAAGGTTCCCGCTCTTAAACAGGTGAAAGTATCGAGAATTCGCTGGTGGGATATTGAGCTTGGACATTAGTGCAGCCTGGATTTTTTGTTCCAGGCAGATCTTCGGGGGCTTGGAAAATGGTGGAGCAGTCTAGAAAAAGTAACAGGGGGGGAAAAAGCTTGTGAAGCAAAACAGGAGATTTGTGTCAGGAATGGAAGTATGCCCCGTGTGCATGCACGTAGAATCTTCATGGGTACCGGGTGGGCTTTGTCGGTGCGGCTCTGGAGAGAAAGAAACGCTTAGTTTATGGACTGGCTGTCTGGGCTGGGAAGGAAGGCGAGATCCATCTTCGACGTGAAAGATTCGTTCGAGTAGTTTCTGGAAGAGAAAAAAGAAGCGAAGGCAAACCAGGAAGATCGAGAGCTGGGGGTGTCTGGATCGACTGCCAGGAATCGATGAGAAAGCACTTGATAGGATGGATTGATAGATTTTGGGATACACTGTCCATCCTATCAAAAATCAGATAGAGTACGTGAGGAGGAGCGTTTGTCAGGCACTGTCAATCCTTTCAGTCACCAAACAGGGGCTCGCTCACACAGCTTTGCGTACCACAGCGTACGAGCGAGATTCTCTGTGGAGAAATCATCGATTTTTTGGTCCAATTGACAAGCTCTGTGAGTCAGGCGATCTCTCTCACTTTTTTTTTTTCTCTCTTGCTTTCTTTCCCAACAGCTGCAGAGAGAAAACCACCAAGAGGAACACCAGAAATCAATAATGGTGTGCCTAGATTCTTTCTCTCAATGTTCTCTCTTCTTTTTTTTTTTCCTAAGATCAACCAATCGATCGAAAGGATATTTCCTCTTTGCTTATAAAACTTGAGGTCTTTCGTTGGCTGTTCGTCAATTCTTCCCGCCGCATGATCAACTGTACGGAATTCTCCCGGTGTCCCCGGCCGACCCGACAGCCGCTGGCCCCTTGTCGGCTATGTCGCGACAGAAACTTAAAATCGTCTGGCCACGTGGAGGGGGCGACCATTGACTTGACCGGACAAAAGTCAACGACACCCCATTTTCTGGGATTTTTTCGCGTGGTGAGTCCACTGACAGTAAAGATCCACGCTCGATCGATCTGGGAAAAAAAAGAAACCTTGCGAGGCACTTCAAGAGTGGATGATCAATGCGCTGTGTGTGTTGTTGTGGAGACAGCTTCGCTTCATATCTCTTTCGATCGCTTGGATCGAGCTGATTGACTCCTCTTCCCGGCCCGATTTTCAGCCGGTCGAATCGATCTGTCAAGCACAGCACACTGACTTTGCTTCGTTCCTCGCGATCTGGACCCCGTTGTTCTTCATACAAGTAGCAGCGGCACTGATCAAGCGAGGACAAGGCTCCACAAAGTTTACTTTCGAAGTCCCCTCGTCCTTGTCTGATCGATCGCTCGCTTCCAGTCTGTGCGTGTGGCGCTGGTGGTGGCAGTGGTCACACTGCCTGCGCCGCTCGTGTCCCTGTCTTCCCATTTGTCTCGAGCTTCGCTCCCATTCAAAGCAAAGCACCGTGAAGAGCAACCTTCGTGTCCAACTATCCCAATCATCCCCGCCAAAAAATTGCTTCTTTCGTACGCTCTTCAAGGCCATGCCTGTCAGTTGGGAGTGCTGCTCCAGAGACCCGAAATATAAAAGCAGCGATCCACCGTTAAAAAACCTTTACCTTTTTTTCCTTTTGCTCTGCCCCAGTTTTCGTGTCGATGGCGAAAGAGGAATGCTGTGCTAGCTAGCAAGCAAGCGAGGGGGCCGAGGGAGTTTTTTAAGCCTGCTCTTGCTTGTCCTTGTCCAAATCATCGCGGTCCTTCTTCTCGCTTGCAAAACTGGAACAGGAAAAAGCAAGTGAAAGCTAAACTCCACCGAAAAGAAGAGCATACCTGTGTGTCTCGGGTGAATGCCATGTAGTTCGTCGTCGCGTAAGCGTAGAGGAGTGTTGGGTGGTGCATACCAAGTGCTGCCGCCGCTTCACCAATAAAAGATTAAACTTTGGTTTGCTGCTCCCGTCCTGACCCGGACTTTTTACTTTGTGTCTGCCAAACCGTGCCGAACTTGTCTTCCATTTTCCTCAAATCGTGGGACCCCGGTGGCCTTCTCTGTCTGCCCAGCCTCCCCTTAAAAACAAATCAGCCCATCCTCCTTGGCCTCGATATCAAAGTTTTTAGCGTAACCCCGCCCTGTTTGTTGCGGCCATCTTCTCCTCCGAGAGAGCCTCATTTATTTGGCCGGTGTGCTGTGAGAGCTCTCTCTCTCTCTCTCTCTCTCGGCTTACCTCACGCTTCTTTTCTTACGTCGGCTCGCCCGCTCGCCATTTGTATATCCCATTTATTTGCCTCCCGTGTATCACTTGCATTGCTCCTCCCTCCCGCATCTCTCCGCTCGGCTTGTTTGTTTTGCCGCGCAGCTCACAATCCCGTTTTGTGGTCCAGGCAGCTTTAAGTTGTCGAAGCAGCATTTTGATTGTTTGTAGCCCCGGTCGGTGCTCGGCTCTGGTACTCCAATTTTACTTGGCGCCGCCTGGATATTTCACGGGTGAAGAATTATGCTCGGAATCGTCAGACTAGAGACTTGCCTCGGTTGCTGCTTGCTGCTCGTCGCGTTGATCAACATGCTGCATCCAAGTTGCTGCGCTCGGATCCTGGAAAGCAGAGGTAAAGCAATCACTGGTTTTAAGACAAAAAGAGAACAAAAGACGGACGAAATTCCCTGTGCAGATTCTCCACCAAAGGGCGAAGGTTCTCTCCCAAAGGTGGCTCGGTTTTCCACGAGCACGAGTGCGAGAACACCATCACCACCATCTCATGACGAGGTAGCTCCTCAATTCCGCTCTTCCCAGGCTTCTCCGAGTCATAATAGATGCTAAAGGCGCTCCTATGCAGGTTGTAGCACTAGACTCCAACGACCGGCAGCTAGAACAATTCAAGGCCAAGATGCCGCGAGGAGCATCAAGTTCAATCCACCTGGATCAACAAAAACATCACCACCATCACCATCACCCTCATAAAAATCATAAAGCTCTCAATGCATATGCCGCACCTCCGGTCGCTCCTCCTATTCATGAAGTAGACGCCAAAGCAAGTACTAGCGGACGTCAGGAGGATCATGGTGGCGACAACGATGACGACTCCGTCGGTAGCGAGGAGATGACTTTTCATGCCGACTACGCGAAGGTTAGAACTCATCCACCGCACAGCCATTAGCTGCGAAGAAAAACAGGATGAGCTTATAGAGGCAAAGAAGAAAAGAAAGCGAAAAGGAGAGCTTACTCTATCATATAGACTTCCAGTCGCTTGTACAGGAGCCACAGAGGTTCGGATCGTTTTTATGGAGCTAGCATCATGCCAGCAGCCAGCGAAGAAGAATTCTTGGATGGATTCGAATTCAGTACACCACAGTCAAGCAGCAGCAGCAGCCAGCAACATCAGGAGAAATTTTCGCTTCCTGAAGAACAAAAAAGATAGGACAAAATCAGAAGAGAAAACAAAAGAAGAAAAGAAACAGAGAAGATTAGTTCTTTGCAAGATTATTCTTGTCCATGAGAAAGAAGCAGGTAGGCAAGGAAATCAAGTGATCCAACAGGCCAAGTGGGACACTAGAGACGACAATTAATTTGCGATGGAGACAGCCGATCGGCTTGGATTGCAAATCTTGTCCATACGTTGTCAAAAGTGAAAGAGCACACACACAGAGAAAAAGTTTCGAGTTTGGCAGAAAAGGAAGAGAGAAAAATGTGCGTGTTTTCTCGATCGAGAAAGAAAGAGGAGCAATCAAGCATCAATCTAAGCTGAAAGAAAGAATGGAGAACCAATTCGGTTCGAGCAATGAAGCGATCACTAAAATTCTAAGCAAATCTGTCTGAGGGAAAAATGGCGCGATTTCCTGATCAAGAAAGACGCCGCGCCACAGCGCCACCAGAAGATCGAGAATCTATGGTAATACATGCAATGCAGCGAGCGATCGATCGAACGAACCTCGTCTCTCTCGTTCGCCTTCTCGCCGTCTTTGAATCCATTCTTCCGCCATTATGCCTAAGAACCCTAATTTTCCAGGGGCTAGGGTTTATGGATCGCGGTGATGTTGTTCCGCCAAATCCCGTGGCGATCGCGAAGAAATCTTCGAGGTAAGCGATCGCAGTATCAAAATATCATCCCGCATTGCCGATTTGTTCTCCAGCCGCTTCCAAGTACGCGCGCGATTGCTCTACATTGGCTGGAGCTCAAGAACCTCCTCCTGTTCTTCGACTTGGATCACTATCTTCCTCGCATTCTCTGTCAGATCAAGATATTTCCAAGAACGAGGCTAGAATCAACCAAGACGAGATTGAGAATCTCCACTCCCAGCAACAAAGCGCGATTACGAGCAGGGCTCGATTGGAGGAGCTTGTAGAGCAGCTGGAAATCGAGCAGAAGAAGAGATACGTCGCGGACGTCGAGTACGTGCGTCTCCTCCAGGCATGTCCCAAGCTCAAAGCTTTGGACATTGCTCGACGCCTCCACTCACAGATCGTGAGAGCGTCGCTGGACAACCGCGTCTTCCTCGGCAACCATCTCATCCACACCTATGGGAAATGCCACAGCCTGGACGATGCATGGGAAACTTTCGAGCGCATGAGCTACAAGAACGTTTACACATGGACTGCGATCATCGGGGTATGTGCTCACCACCACTGTCACTCACTTGCGATTATCTTGCTCAGGCAAATGCTGCTGGAGGGTGTGAAACCAGACAACATCACGCTGCTCGCGGCGCTCACGTCCTGTGAGACCTCGCAAGCTCTCCCCGCCGGTAAGCTCATTCACGGCTTGATCGCTCAGAGTGGACACCAGTGTGACTTAATCCTGGAAAATGCTCTTGTCAGCATGTATGGGAGCTGCGGGAGCGTCGACGATGCCAAGAGAGTTTTCGATGCAATGCCGGCCAGGAATGTCATCACCTGGACTGCGATGATCGGGGCTCATGCCGAGACCAGTCTCGAGCAAGCTTTCAAGGTGTTCCGGCTGATGGAGCTCGAGGGGTTTAAGTCCAACTTCGTGACGTACGTGACGCTCGTCCAGGCTTGCTCCAAACCGGAGTTTCTAGAGGTGGGCATAATCTTACACATGCGTAGTGTGGAGAGTTCTAGTGCTATGGAAACTCCTCTTTGCAATGCGCTGATCACGATGTATGGAAGATGCGGACGGCTGGAGGACGCGCGCGCCATCTTTTCCAGCATGGTGGAGCGAGATATAATCGCCTGGAACGCTCTCATTACGGAGTATGGCCAGCACGGGCATGTCGAGGAGGCTGTGCTGCTCTACCAGCTTATGCTACAAGAGGGCTGTAAGCCAGACAAGGTAACCTTTGTTGCGCTCCTTACGATGTCCAATGGACCAGAAGCTCTAACGGATGTTAAACTCGTCCATTCTCATATTGTAGAGAGCGGAGTGTCCATCAACATCGCTCTGGGGACAGCGCTTGTGGCGATGTACTCCAAGTGCGAGAGCCTGGAAGATACACGCTGGCTGTTCGAGAAAATGCCGCAGCGCAACGTGATCTCCTGGAACGTCATGGTGACAGCGTATGCCAAGCACGGTCTGGGAAGGAAAGCAGTGCAAATCACGGAGTACATGCAGCTCGATGGTGTAAAGCCGGACAACGTTACGTGTGTTGGTCTTCTAAACGTATGCACCGGCTCGGCCGATCTCAAGCTGGGAAGAAAGGTACACGGCTGGATAGCGGAAGGCAGGTGCGAGGCGGACTTAATCCTGTGGAACTCACTCCTAAACATGTACGGCAGGTGTGGAGAAGTGGAACAAGCGGAGATGGTCTTCGACGGGATCCTCCAGCGTAATGTCATCAGCTGGACGGCAATGCTCACGGCGTACTCGCGGCAGAACAGGCAAGACATGGCGCTGCTCCTCTTCCACGCCATCCATCTCAGCGGGGTGAAGCCGACGTGCATCACCTTTCTTGAGGCGCTGGACGCGTGTGTCGGTGCGGAGGCCCTGGGCAAAGGGAGGCTGGTCCACTCCTGTGCTGTTCAGAGCGGGAACGACACCGACGTGTCGCTGGGGAGTGCCTTGGTTGCCATGTACGGAAGGTGTGGCTCGATCCGAGACGCAAAGGCATGCTTCGACGACACAGAAGTTCGGAAGAATCACGTAACTTGGTCGGCAATGATTGCGGCATTCGTCCAGCACGGGCAAGACAGGGAAGGACTCCAGCACTTGCGGTTCATGCAGCAGCAAGGACTAGACATGTCCCCGGCAACGTTTGCATCGACTCTAAGTGCATGCTCCAACCTCGCCGACCTCCGAGAAGGCAAACGAATCCACTCATACGTGAGAGAGAGAAGATTCGACACCGAGGCTGCCACCGTCACGAATTCGCTCGTCACCATGTATGGAAAGTGCGGCAGCCTGGACTGTGCGAGAGAGGTCTTCGAGACGTCCCGTCGGCAGGACATCATCTGCTGGAACGCCATCATCTCGGGGTATGCTCAGCACGGCCAGACCAGAGACGCCGTGGAACTTTTCCACCGGATGCAACAGGAAGGCGTAACTCCCGACCCCGTCACCTTCGTCTGCATCTTGAGCGTCTGTAGCCACGGGGGCTTGCTCGACGAGGGCGTCTACGCGTACGCGAGCATGGTCGAGCTGGGCCTCGAGCCAACGCAGGACAACTACGCTTGCGTCATAGATCTCCTGGGACGAGCAGGGAAGCTGCAAGAGGCCGAGGAGTTTATACAGTCGCTCGGCACCCGGCCAGCGATCGAGACGCTCACTTCGCTGCTGAGCTCTTGCAAGAGCCACGGCGATGTACAGCGCGGGAGGCGAGCGGCAGAGGGGATTATGGAGATGGATCCCAGGAGCTCCTCGGCTCACGTTGTGCTGTCGAGCATTTACTCCGCAGACCCCGAAGAGTAGAACTACAACTTACAAGCAACGGTCATCAACACGTAGCTCGGCAGAGCAAGCTCGGCTTCACCAACTTCTAACTGTTCGGTGTTATGAGGTCGGTGTCGTGGAGTTCGTTCGCTCGCTCTCATTCATTTATCAGTGTTTCAAGCCACAGTGATGTGATTTCGTTCGTTTTGTTGTGGATGGCAGGCTGCAAGTTTATGAACAACGAACGATCCAAGAATGCCGAAGAAGAGGACGGCATGACATTACGCTTGCAAAGGCGAGAAGACTTTTAACTCGGCTGCTGGAAGCGAGCTGCCAAGGTCACGAGTTGAAAGTGGAGATGGTGGACACGAAGAAGAAAGAAAGAGACTGTTGGAAGAAAAGAATCGCAAGGTCAGTGGCGCAATTATCAGCAGTCGTTCGTTCATTTCATGTGCAGCGCCATTAAGTAGCAAAAGTTCAAACCACAGGAATATCCGAGCATCATAATGCCCTAAAAGAATATGCTCCACCACTAGGAATATACTCACGCATATACTTAGAATATCCAGGCAAAAAACAAATATGCTTAAGCATATGCTCGAGCATATCTCGCAAAGGAATATGCTCGAGCACATAAGAGTTTAGTCACGCTTGAAGAACCTGGCAATGGACAATGTGGCTCTTGAGACGGTTCCTCCCCGCGATGTTGGACCACAAGTTGGTGACGAACGTCTTGAACAGCCCCTTGCCGGCGATGGTGTCCCAGAGCGCGCCGCGCCGCGCCGCGTCCTCGGAGTTGGCCACGTCCACCATGGTGATGCTCATGTTGTTGCGGATGATGCACAGCCGCCCCCCCAGCGGCAGCAGCGCCGCCGCCTCCAGCGCCCGCGAGTTCCCCAAGTGAGTCCGGCTGTCCACGGAGCGGTGCCAGGAATCAGCGGCGCCGTCGTAAACCCGGAGCTTGCAACCATCGGGGCAGTCGAGCGCGTAGAGCTGCCCGTTGAAGATGGCGCTCGGGTTCCTCCACCCGGACACCATCCCGTCGAGCACCGGCGACCAGTTGTCCGTGGCCGGGACGTAGACCTCGCTCATCACCTGCCTGTGCGAGCCCAGCCCCTTGAGAAACCACCGCCCGTGGTACACCACCCCGATGAACGGAACCATCGCCGTGCTCATGTCCGCGATGTATGACCACCTGTTCTTGTTCGGGTCGTAGACCTCGGCCGAGCGCAGCGATCGCTGCACGCCCTCGCACTCGCCACCCGCGACGTAGAGGCAGTTGTTGATCACGCAGCAGCCGAAGAAGTGGCGGCGGCGGTTCATGTCCGGAGCTCGATGCCACTTGTTGGTCCGGGCGCTGTAGTAGACGACTCTCCTCATGGAGCCTTTTGCCGGGTCTTTGCCTCCGAAGAGGTAAAGGTGGCAGCCGCTGAGCACCGCGCAGCCGAAGCCCAGCGCCTCGCAGTACTCGAGAGGGACCGGCGGGAGTGGCTGCCACTGCTGGTAGCGAGGATCGAATGCGTGCCAGGAGATGTGCCCGTCCCTGTCGCGTTTGATCACGTAGATCCACTCCTCGGCCATCCCCAGGGCCTTGCGCTGCGAGTAGAAGAAGTTGCCGGCGAGGAGCCTGTACCACCTCTTGCAAACCACCCGGAGAGTCCTGTGATGGATGCGAGGAACTCTTACCAGGCATGCGATGGCGAGGTCGTCTGGGAGGCCCGGGATAAGCTGGCACGGGATCTTGGTCCGGTCGCCCCTCGAGTGCCTCGTCCTCGCCTTTGGGATCACAATTGTCGGCTTGACGTCGGGCTGGATGCAGTGCCGCGTCCCCGGCACGAATCGCCGGGCGTTGGTGACGGTGAGGCCAGCGTCCACGCCGCAGTAGCACAGCGCGCTCTCAGCCTGTGACAAAAGAAAGAATTCGTCACGAGAACTACCAAAGAATTCGTCACGAATAACTCAAGAACTACCAAAGAAACTCCAAGTACCAAGAACAAAAGAAAGCTTTGGCAACTCTACCTGCATAGAATGGATGCCGCGGTGCATGGCGGAGCCTGGGACGACCTTCATGGATCCAAATCTCGGCAAAGACGCGCGATTGGAGCTCGCTAGGGATCTGCATTCACCTCTCGCGCGGCCGGCCTCCTCACGTCCCGACACCAGTGGACGCGGCAATGCGGCAGCTCATGCCGTCCAAGAACAGCTCTCGAGCATCCAAATCACTGCTACTCCACACCAGCGCTCAAGATCCCGGCCGTTTCCAAGGATTATCGTCGGACCTCCATCCTGGCGAGCGTAATCACGAGCTTGCCGCGCGAAATCTCGCATCTTCTTGCTGGATTTCGTGTGTGTGCCCGCCTACCTCACGGCCGCCGCTGCCGCATTGTTGCCGCAGCGCTTGCGATTCGCGGAGACGCGTCGTCGACCGCCATAGCTGCTGTGATCCGAGGAGCTCTCTCTCAATCCCTAGTCCCTCTTTCTTCCTCCCTATCGCTTCTCTCTTTCTCGCCAGAGGACGCGCTCCGGACCAAAATGTGGGCAAAACACGATATACCCGCCATAGCCAAACTGAGGAGAGCTGCACGGAATGAGCCATGGCCCAGACCGCGTACGGCAGAACCATACGGAAGCTGTGCCTTTAAAAGCTCTACAGGCGAAGTTAATGGGCCAAAGACTCGCACTCCATCGCGAACAAGCATTTACACCAGCCGAATAGAGAAACTTTAACCATGGGTGGAAAAAAAATATATTATTTTTCACCGACTGTCACTGGGCGTGGAGGGTCCCAAGTTCGATCCCCTCCAGCCATTAAGAATGTGATGTTTTATATGGTGGATTATCATCTCACTTAAGCTTAAGCAGTCCTCCAAGAACGAATTCTTCTTTAAAATGGTGTCAGGTTGCGATAGCCCGGCGAGGACATCACGGATAGAACTTCCGTCACTGATGCCATGGAGCTCAATGCGGCCTTGAGGATCTCCTCCGGGCAACCAGGCTTGATGATATCTTTCACCTGTTTGGATGATCCAAAGCATGGTATCTTATAGACTAGAAACTTTAAAGAATGGACGTACCTTGTCAAGGTAGCTCCGGAGCTCCTGGATCCTGCCAATGTAGTCTCGATCCTCCACGGACAGAGTGATGGTCTTTAGATCGGCTCCAGGCCCGTCAAACTGGAGCGGTCCCGGATTCCGGTATAGATCATCCATGAGGAGCGCTGACGCGTTTTGCGACAGTAACCTGCGAGGAGATTTTGAGAAACAATCTTGCAAATGAAGATCTTCTAAAAACACTTACTCGTATGGCTTTCCCTTAAGGTCCACTCTAGCTGAGTGCACAGCCGGCTTTCCTATCTGTGAGACTCCCGGGCCCCTTTGCCACCGCTTGACAGACATCATCGCCTGCGTAGAAAAACCCGTGCTTGTTACGCGAGAATTTTCGTTAAGTCTAGACTTACAGTGATTGGTGCTCCGCCACACCTCCATTGGTCGACAGATTCCTTCAAGTTCGTCACCGTCGCCATATAGCCATTCAGTCCGGCGCTTGCCAAGTGAAATGCTATGTGTCCAAGAGCCTGCAGAAACAGAGTGTGAAGCTCTTCACAAAGAAAGCACACAAAGAGCTTACGTTTGCGTAGGTGCAATCAAAATTGGAAGGCAACGATCCTCGAGCTTGGTATCCGAAGAAATGGCAGATACCGTTGAACTTCTTTCCTTTGTAACTGCCAGCTTTCTGTGATCATGAAAAATGTATTGAGTGAGTGTGCGCGTCAAACTTAGCACTAGAATACCGTTCTCCTTGTCATCTCTGTCTCAACAAGCTGACACAACAGTTTTTCCGTTTCTATCTGCAAAATAGAATAGCTATATTTTGTTAGCTTTTAGATATTGCAAAACACAGTGGTGCACACCTGCGAAAGCTGGACAGAATCGTCGGATTCCCTGTCCAAAAGAAACTGCAAAAAAAAAGGTTCATATCAGACAAGAGAGAAAAGGAAAAGGAGAGAAAACTGTTGTTTGACCTGCTTTTTGATGAATGGTGGCAGAAACTCGAAAAGTGCGGACGCCCAGGGACTGAGACGAGTTGGAATGTGCTCGACCTCAATATCCTGCTTTTGAAGGCCATGGATTTCCTAACCATAAAAAATACATCGCAACTCAAATCATTGCTCCAATGCTGTACACCAACATCTACCTGCAAGAGCGCATATACTTCAGGGATACTCTCAATGAGACCCTCCGGCAGAAGGATGACTCCATGGTACTTTTCTGGAAAAAAACACCTCGTAAATTGACCAAATAGCAATAAAACCTTTCAGCGAAAACTGACCATGCTCTGCTCGGGCTTGAATAGCATCACAGATTTGCTTTGTAACGTCGAAAAGTGTCATTTTAGACGTGGCAACTTCCTCTCCTAGAATCACCTGCAAAAGAGCTGAATCAGATCCAATATTTCGTCCAAAACACAGACATACCATATTCGGATGCGACTGCAACGCACATTCCAGTGAGACGTGAGATGCTCGGCGTCCCATCAGCCTGATGAAGTAGTAATACTGAAAAGCATCACGAGCAAGTAAACCATGATTGCAGTTGCAAGGAAAACAACCTTCTCTGCTGATAGCGCATCAGTGCTTATGTTGCTGATGAGCTGAGAGTTGACCTGCACCAAAACATATTAGAAATGCAAGCAAGAAGTCTCCGCAAGATCTGCTGCACCTTGCAAACAGTGTCAAAGCCCACATCCGTCTCAACAAACGGATTTTTCAAGTCTCCATCGATAGTGGCAGGCACCGCGATAACCTGCGAAGCAAGGATCTAGCCGCACTACATTATTATGTTTTACGTTGCCACCTTTGTGCGACACTCCGTTGCAGCAAAGTTTTCAGCGAGATGAGCAGCATCCGTGCTCGTTCCACAACCTGCAGCCAACAATCTCGTGTTATTAGCTCCCACAGTCATCCGTTCGACGTTGGCAAAACTTGCCTCCAATCAAAACGATGCCGTCCAGCTTCATAGCTTCGCAAGCTGCCCTTGCATCATCCACCTGCTGCACAGACTTGATCTGATCCTTGGTCCGCCCAAGAAGGTCGTAGCCACCTGAACAAAAAGAAGAAAACCTTTCAAACTCCCTTGCTTGTATCGAAAATGTTTCTACCTTGGTTACGATAAACAGCAAGCACATCCGCAGTGATCTCCACAGACTTTTGGGCGAAGAGTCCATCAGTGCCACCTAAATTCAAGCTTGAGGACAAGGACATGATAAAAAAAACTCTGGACATCCATACCAACGATTCCAATCAGGACGTTGTCTGGGTTGTGAGCCTTCAATGCATCAAAGAGGCCAGCAACAATGTTATGTCCTCCTGGGGATTGCCGTCCGCAAAAGACGACTCCCACCCTGCCAGCAAAAGCATCACACAGCTCATCCTTGAAACAAAACAAGAAAAAAAAAAAAAACCACAGACCTTAGTGGCGATAGCTTCTTCTCGCCAGTGGATTTCTTGCCTGGAAGCAAATGCACTAGAGGTTGCCCATAAGTGAGCGAGAACGATCTCTGGATAGCCAGCGCGTCTGACGCATCCATGGCAGTGGTGGCATCTCCACAGACAAGCTGGACGTTGGGAGCCTGCAGATCAATCATCCAAGTTTTTTCCGAAAAGGCCGCGAATTAAAAGAAGAAAAAGAAATTTCTCGCAGGCAAAAGCACCAAGACAAGGACAGGAGAAAAATCTTCCAAGATTCACGCAGTTCCGGACGAAATCTACATGCGGCAGCAATGCGCATGACTAGATGCTCCCAAGAACACGAAAGATCAAGAATCCGGCAAATGCAATTCCGGAAACACCCGATTTCGCCACGAAAAGGCATACCTCGAGCGCTGGCGGCAGCGACACCTTGTAGCCGCGACGAATACCCTGGATTCCATCGACCGCTCCCATCGCGCGCTCCCAAGGCTCCTCTCTAACAGCGAAAGCTCTCGTCTCTCAACCTAGCTCCTCTGTTGCTCCAAAATGTATGGCAATTAGCACTAATCTGTGTTTAATATCACACAAACCCGACCTGGTTGACGGGTTGACGGGCTGTTGAAGGTCTGAAAATACGTCACCGTCACGTGACCGTCCGATATTTGGTGGATGCGGATAAGGATATTGGCATATTCGATTTATAGTTTTAAAAATTACAACCTTTATCTTCATCCTGAGAATATTCTTAAGCCCATTAAAAGACTTTAGGGCAACAATCCTTAGGGTAAGTCCTAGGAATGGGTTTGATTTTGCTGTTTCATGACGATGATATCCGCATCTTACATCTTGATATTGAAACAGAAACATGGACAGAATTGGAGCAAGTGCAACTAGAAGCAGATGAGCGTGTTGCTGCAATTCATGCTTCTGCAGGCGGTAATCTCCATGTCTTCATAGTCAAGTTGGTTCCTGTATGGGGGATGCGGAAATATCCTCAAAAGTGCCCTCCAAACCCAGGACGGCCAGCCCTTTACAAAATGAATTTGAAAGATGATGGCCTCAAGTGGACAACAATCTCAACAGCTTTCATGAAGCCAGGTCAGCAGTATTATGCTACAGTTGATGAAGATACAATTCATGCCTTTGGAGTAAACAAGACTCAGGTATACTCAGCAAGTGAAGACAAGTGGGTAAAAATTGGACGTGTGGCTGGTTTAGATACATTAGGGATAATTACGAATGTGATCTCGAACGGGGCAGATCGTGTGATTGGCTTATATGAAAGTAGAGAATTGAGGTATTACAATGCAGGTCAAAATTCCTGGGCAGAGCTTTATGCTGACCTCCCTAAAGAGTTTAAGCACTATGGTGCAAAGATGACTATGGTTCAAGGGAAGGTGGTTGTTGTACAGTTTGGAAACCTTCGCTATTACAATGAGGAAGCTAAACAATGGGAAGAATTTGAGGAACTTCCAGGAGTTTTAGATCAAGAAAAATCGTGGATTTTTAGGTTGCAAGGGATGCGCTATGCTCCTGTGGTGTTTGCTACGAAGCGTCACTGTCATGGGCTCTTTAGAGGTACTATTGATTGGGAGCACAAAACTGTGACATGGAAGAAGCAGCGGATTCCAGAAAATGTAAAGACGTATTTTATTGGCATCATGGCTGCCGCATAAATTTTTAATTTCAAAAAAATATATATATTCTTCAAATCTTAAAACTCTTTTGACTGGAACTATGATCTTTTTTCATGTTCTTCCAGAGGAGTTTGGAAACGAAAACGAATTGTCGTGTGAGATCATTGCTAAGTATTATCCAGTGTATACATGTTTATAGAGGTCATTAGTGCTGAGCTGGAGGCATGAGACCATGCCTTATCAATAAAGATCCTGTGGTACCATTGCATTCAGCTCCTGGAAATGAACACTCCAAAACACGATTGGTGAAGCTCAAAATCTTTAGCAACCACATTCTGTCAAGTTGTTTTATATATACATTGGAGCATGGAAAGTGATGATCAAAGGGGACTAACTACTGCTGTATTGGCTTGCTGGCTTGTACGACTACTACAAAGACTCAATCTCAAAACCAGATTACATGCAAAATTATAATATGCCACCAAAACAAGCTTAGAAGGATAGATTGGTCTATGGTAGATCTTTTCTCCAGAAGTACCACCTATTCCAGCATAAAGTTCAACTACATAACTTGCAAACTCTACAAGCATGGATGAATAATGGCCTTTAATTATTGCTTATAGATCTAACTTGTTATTTGTTATGGAATTTGTATTAGTTTACGAAAATGAAATGGATTTTGGGCAAAATAATAAATAGATTAGCCATTGGAAAAGTGTAAAAACATTGGTTTTTCTCATCCAGGACATGGTCATCAAGTACACTCAAGGTTCTTACAGGGAAGCTATGCACAGGGCTTGGGCAGCTGAAGAGGTTAGGCTGGCTCCTCAGCTATACAACATGGACCAGCTTCCTGGAGGATGGTTGCAAGTGAAGATAGAGTACCTAGGGGAGGACTGGCATCTGCTTCATGGGCACCAGCAGGCACAAGAGTTGCGGGCCGAGGTGCTCAAGATGCTAGACAAAGCACACAGAATCCCAGTCATGCCCTCAGGTGACATTGGGGTGCATGGAGACATTAGAGACATGAACGTGATGGTGAGGGTCAGTTATTCCAGCAGGCAAGTTGAGGTCAAATTCACTGGCTTCGACTGGGCTGCTGTGGAGGGGGTTGGGTGATACCCGTATTTCATGAACAAGGTTGACATCAAGTGGCCGGCAGGAGTGTCGGGTGGCCAGGTGATGCTACAGAAGCATGACAAGGAGCTCCTTGGCATGTCTCAAGCTGAGCAGCCTAAGGAACTTCTTCTTCCAGTGGAAGCGTCTTCCGAATCTGAAGAAGGGTGCCGCTTCGCTTTGTGAACATGAAGGCACGTGGAACAAGCCGAGCCAGCGGATCCGCTGTGGCTTTTGGCTCTTGGCTGCCGCCACCGGAATGCCACGGCCTGGAGCATCGATCACCGGCTACAACAAGTATGCGCTAGATTCCAGCACAAGAAAATGCAATGTGGATCGCCATCGCACTGCGAGCGGATGGAGCGTCAGGGAACATATTCTCCGGTACTCAGCTCGTATCACTCCAATCCAGCAGAATGTGGGTATAGAGGAAAGGGTTTCTTTCTTGGAGTGGACGCTCGATCGATCGCTGCATTATTTCCTTGGGTTTTAGATTGATCGGTAGTCTCCGCACGCCAGCCGAAATCCTGGTCACGGATTCTCCCTAATGGCTGTTTTCCGGATCTACTACTGGCTCCAATTCTATCTCTTTTCTTATTGTCTGTGTTTCCTGTGCTTCATGTCGGTTTTACTTAAGTTTTGGGGATAAGGATATTAGCATATTCGATTTATAGTTTATACTTTTAGACTTCCATATATTTAAGGGCAACAATCCTTAGGGTAAGTCCTAGGAATGGGTTTGATTTTGCTGTTTCATGACGATGATGTGCGCATCTTACATCTTGATATTGAAACAGAAACATGGACAGAATTGGAGCAAGTGCAACTAGAAGCAGATGAGCGTGTGGCTGCAATTCATGCTTCTGCAGGCGGTAATCTCCATGTCTTCGTAGTGAAGTTGGTTCCTGTACGGGGGATGCGGAAATATCCTCAAAAGTGCCCTCCAAACCCAGGACGGCCAGCCCTTTACAAAATGAACCTGAAAGATGATGGCCTCAAGTGGACAACAATCTCAACAGCTTTCATGAAGCCAGGTCAGCAGTATTATGCTACAGTTGATGAAGATACAATTCATGCCTTTGGAGTAAACAAGACTCAGGTATACTCAGCACGTGAAGACAAGTGGGTAAAAATTGGACGTGTGGCTGGTTTAGATACATTAGGGATAATTACAAATGTGATCTCGAACGGGGCAGATCGTGTGATTGGCTTATATGAAAGTAGAGAATTGAGGTATTACAATGCAGGTCAGAATTCCTGGGCAGAGCTTTATGCTGACCTCCCTAAAGAGTTTAAGCACTATGGTGCAAAGATGACTATGGTTCAAGGGAAGGTGGTTGTTGTACAGTCTGGAAACCTTCGCTATTACAATGAGGAAGCTAAACAATGGGAAGAATTTGAGGAACTTCCAGGAGTTTTAGATCAAGAAAAATCGTGGATTTTTAGGTTGCAAGGGATGCGCTATGCTCCTGTGGTGTTTGCTACGAAGCGTCACTGTCATGGGCTCTTTAGAGGTACTATTGATTGGGAGCATAAAACTGTGACATGGAAGAGGCAGCGGACTCCAGAAAATGTAAGGACGTATTTTTGGGGCATCATGGCTGCCGCATAATTGTTTTATTATTTTGTTATTTCAATTATATATTCGAATTCTTAGTTTTTAGCTCTTTTGTCGACGCGAATGCATTTACGATCTTTTTCATGTTTAAAAAGGGGAAAATGTAAGTGGATCTTCAAACATGCCTAAATTTTTGCTTTGATAAAGGTACAGGGAGGCGTTCTGAGAATTAGGGTTAGGGTTAACGCAGGGGCCCGGGCATGGCGCTCGTCTCGAACGGCCTCGGTGTCGCGCTCCCGGCAGGCGATCATCACCCGGTGGCGCCACAGCAGCAGCAATCTCGCGATGAGGAGCCGCCGATGCCGCCGGCGCAGGTAGCAGCAGCAGGAGTAGCAGTAGAGCACACGGATTCTTCTGACCCTAGCGCCGGCGCCGGCCCTCAAGATCAGGCAAGTGCCCCCAAGCTTCTCATCTCGGCCGCATTCAACCAGGACTATGGCTGTTTCGCGTGCGGCACAAACACGGGCTTCCGGATCTACAATTGCGATCCCTTCAAGGAGACGTTCCGGCGAGAGGTACCAAACGCAGGGATTGCGCTCGTAGAGATGCTCTTTAGGTGCAATATCCTCGCGATCGTGGGCGGTGGGCCGATCCCTCGCTACCCTCCGACCAAAGTCATGATCTGGGACGATCACCAGGGCCGCTGCATTGGGGAGCTTGCATTCAGGTCCGAGGTGAGAGGGGTGAAGCTGCGCAGGGACAGGGTAGTCGTGATCCTGGAGCACAAGATCTACGTTTACAATTTCGTGGACTTGAAGCTACTTCACCAGATTGAGACGATCGCCAACGGCAAGGGACTGTGTGCGTTGTCCCCGAGCTCCACGACGCCGATTCTTGCTTGTCCGGGACTCCACAAAGGGCAGGTTCGTGTGGAACACTACGGACTAAGAAAAACCAAGTTCATCCCGGCGCACGATTCCAATCTGGCTTGCTTCAGTCTCTCGCAGGATGGGAAGCTCCTTGCTACTGCCAGCACCAAGGGGACGCTCATCCGGATCTTTAACACTATGGATGGAACTCGTCTCCAAGAGGTAAGACGCTTTTCTTTTGGTTCTTTGGATGGGTAATAACTTCGGCTATTCACTTTTGCTTTCCCAGCTGCGGAGAGGAGCAGATAGAGCACAGATTTTCAGCATTGCCTTCTCGCCCAACGCTCAATGGCTTGCCGTTTCCAGTGACAAGGGTACCGTGCATGTTTTCAGACTTAAGGGTCCGTCGCCTTCTGACGAGTCGAGGCCGGCTGAAGCTCAAAGCATCGAGAGGAGTGGGAGTCAGGGATCGGGGTGTACAAGCCCGTTTGCCGGCTCGCCAACGCTCTCTCCCGGTGGAAATCCTGGCTCAACTCTTTCGTTTATGAAAGGTTTGTGTCAAGGTTTTTGATCGAGTTTCTCAGAGTTTTCTAACTGGGAAAGCTGGTTTGGCTTTGTCGCAGGTGTTCTACCAAAGTACTTCAGCTCGGAATGGTCGTTTGCGCAGTACAGGCTCCCAGAAGAGATTCATGCCACTGTCGCGTTTGGAGCACAGAAGAACTCGGTCCTCATTGTGGGACTAGACGGCAGGTACTGTTATGTTTTGCTGTTCTAGATTGCTGAGTGTTGTTTCTTTGTGCTCTAGCTTCTACAAATGTACCTTCGATTCAGCAAATGGCGGAGAGATGATACAACAAGAGTACACCAAATTCATGCGAACAAACGAAGCCGATCAATGATCGCTTACGCTGGGGAAAGATTGGTGTATAGTAATCTCAATGTACAGGTGAGGGAGATCTATATAGCTAATCTATTGTATAACTCGGAAAGAGGAAATATCTTATATCTTTCATTTAGCATAGCCCATACAATTTCGCTTGAAGCCAAACAGACTATTATCAGAATCCAAAAGAACCAAAATGTTCATCAGATGAGCAAGACCAAGGATGTTGGTTTCTCCCTTCCTAATTGTAGAACACCAGAAATCACCCTGCCGATCAAATAAGTTGTGGGGTACTAATTCCATATGAACCCCGTTATCGAAATGATAAGCTAGTTTTGGAATGTCTTCAACCGGGCCACAATCGCAAGCTCTAAAACACATGGCTTGGCTGATAACTTTCTTCCTTCCTGGTAGCAAGTTTTGAAATTTCTGGATGACGAGAGTGTAGATTGTTGGTGTTAGGCTTGTGAATGTAGAACCGGTATCAATCAGGAGGAGCTGTGGAGCGATTGCGATGTAATCACCATCGATAGTCAAGCCGACAATCGTCACAAAAAACATGCCTTTGTCTTCCTCTCGCTCGCGAAGAGGAACCGTCGCTAAACCATTCACTCGCCTTGCATCATCACCAAGAGTTAAAGTCCCAAATTCCTGCTCATCGTCATTCGCTATGGTTGAAAGTGATGTTTCGATCGGCATGCAAAACGAAAAGACATTCCCCCCTAGAGCATCCCTGAATTGGGAAATGAATGACGATGAACCCCTATTCATGCCAAGAACGCCCACCCCTGCTGTTAAACCCTGCTGAGATTGAGCAAAACCAAAATAGAAATGGTTTTGTGGGACAAAATCCTGGCCGCTACGAGCTCCTGGGAGGATTACAGAGTCTTCTATGATGATTCCTCTGGCATTGCCTCTATCGTAGGCTACATCAAACTTGCACCTATTTGCAGAATCACAATCACCGTGAAATATGTTCTTACAGATTTGGGTTTGGCAAGAGAGTGCTTGCTGGCGACGTTTGTAACTTCTTATCGGCACCCAGCAAATATCTGATCCTGAATCAAAGTTCATGAGCTGGCTGTGCATGTTGGTCAAACTCCCGAATGTGATCACAGTCACGTAGCCCCCCACATCTTCATTAAAGTGGATAGAATTTACTTCTGTTGTATTGAACTTCCTAAGACTCCATAAAGGCAATTTAATCCCCTGGCTAGTAGAAACCTCTAGAAAGAACACAAGAAGAATGAGAAAAGGAGCCATTTGTTGAGAATCCAGCTAAACGTTCCAGTCTTGCTCCTCCAGTCTCAAGATCCGAAGAGGAAGACCAAGATTTTGAAGAACTTGCTTTCAACTTGTTTGAAGTTAATGGTTGGTTGATCACACCATTTATCTCCAGATCCGAAGAGGAAGACCAAGAGTAATGGTTGGTTGATCACACCATTTAAATTTGTCCTAGAAGGAAAGTGAAATGTAAAATAAAATCCCGTTCAATCATAAGTCGCAGCCACAGTGATTGTGGGCCGTACATGGGCACGGCAGTTCGACACGTGGAACAAGCCGAGCCGGCGGATGGGCCTGTGTTTGTTTGTGAGAAGAAGCTTTTGCCAAGGACTCCTCTCTAGGTAGCGGCTAGCAGGGGCGTCGACGGTATGGATAGGGTTCTTGGCTGCCGCCAATGATAGGGAATGCATGGCGCCCACGCCCTGGAGCATCGATCGCCAACACCAGGAGCAGGAATTCCAGCGCAAGAAAATGCCCGCTCCTTTGAGTTTCGATCGCCCTCCTAGGATGGCGCTGCGAGCGGAAATCGGCGGGATTTTCTTCGCGCGATGGTGATTCCAGCTCGTTTCTTGCGGCAGTCTAGGATTCTCGTGTCGGATATGGCGGTCCGGCGCCTCGCCGAGACGCTGTCGAGGAGCCTGGTGGATGATATCTACAAGTGTAGCAATATGAAGCAGACGGGCGTGAGTCTCAAGTATATGATGGATTTTGGAGCGAATCCCACCGAGAAGAGCTTGCTCCTCTCCTCCCAGTTCTTGCACAAGGAGCTCCCCGTGAGGCTTGCGCATCGCGTCATGGAGCTGGACAATCTTCCCTATGGTCTCTCAGAGAAAGCTCCCGTGCTAAAGGTATGGTCTCTAGTTTTCTTTGTTCTTCCTGCTTGATTGCTATAAAAAAATGATCTTATAACGTAAGCTTTCCAGGTGCGTGACTGGTATGTGGACTCGTTCAAAGACTTGCGGACGTTTCCGGAGATCCAAGACGCTGCTGACGAGATGAAATTCACAGACTTGATACACCAGATAAAAATTCGCCACAACAACGTAACCCCGACTGTTGCTATGGGAGTTCAAGAGCTCAAGGAAGAGCTGGGAAGGAGAGGGGGCTTGCTTGAGCTGCCGGAGATTCACCAGTTTCTTGACCGCTTTTATATGTCGAGAATTGGAATTCGTATGCTCATTGGTACGTGGTTCTCTCTTCTAGCTAGCACCTAGGATTTTTGGCTGAGCTTTGAAAGGAAATTTTTTTTTTGCAGGCCAGCATGTTGCGTTGCATCAGCCAAACCCAGCACCCGGCTACATTGGATTGATTTCCACCCGCGTTTCCCCAGTTTTGATCGCGCAGAATGCCATTGACGACGCTCGATCGGCCTGCATGCGTACGTATGGAAGTGCTCCGGAAGTGCACGTCTATGGCGACCCAAACTTTGCATTCGCGTAAGTGCTCCTTAGGGTATGTTTGCATTCTTGCAAGCAGCTATCGCGTGGCTCTCAAGTTCTAACGTTCTGTCTCTCCTGCAGCTACGTTCCCACTCATCTCCATCAGATGTTGTTCGAGCTGCTGAAAAACTCCCTCCGTGCAGTGCAGGAGCGTTTCATGGATTCGGACCAAGAATCTCCTCCCATCAGGATCATCGTCGCCGATGGTGTCGAAGACGTCACCGTGAAGGTGAGCTAAACATCTGGAAACCATTTCCTCATTGTTCTAATTCTTTCTTTCTAGATATCTGATGAAGGAGGTGGGATTCCCAGGAGCGGCCTCTCAAAGATCTGGACGTACCTCTACACCACCGCAAAGTCTCCACTGGAAGAGAGCAGGCATATGCAAGAGACACCGAATGTGATGGCTGGCTACGGCTATGGCCTCCCAATCAGTCGGCTGTACGCGAGGTACTTTGGAGGAGATTTGCAAGTCATATCGATGGAAGGCTACGGTAAGTGTTCCTCCGGTTTGATTTGAGTGCTCTAAGTCTTAGAATGCTGGATTGATTGCTTGGAAGTTTTGGCAAGCTAGTTTTTGGATCTCCGTTAGCTCTCAAGTTTGGGATGAGATTTGCAAGTTGGTGTTTGGATCAACCGGTAGCTCTTAAGTTTGGGATGTAGTTTTTGGATAGATTTGCAAAGCTAGTTTTAGATCATCCGTTAGCCCTTAAGTTTGGTGCTCTTAAAGCTAGTTTTTGGATCATCCATGAGCTCTCCAGAGATTTCTAGCATCTGTGCTAAACATTTTCTTCTTTCTCGCAGGAACCGATGCCTATCTCCATCTCAACAGGCTTGGCAACGAGCAAGAACCATTGCCATGAGAAGAAAATAAGGAGAGAAGAAAACGAGGCTCCATTTTATTCTTTGATGCGGACTTGAGACACGGAATTTGAGTGACTTGTGAAATGTTTTTGCTTTGTCGGACGTGAAACCCCCTGTCCAATCCAGCAGAACGTGGGTATAGAGCCAAGGGTTTCTTTCTTCTTCTCTTGTGTTCTTCCACAGGAGCTATGTCCCTCTCTTCGCGCTACCATCGAGCTATGGCTTTGGCGGTTAGGGTTTTGATGGAGCTGTGAGGTGCCGCTGGCGCTGCATTTCTCTTGCCGGATTTCTCGGGGGTTTTAGTGCTAGGTAGATCGATTTGTCGAGTGGATGGCCCTAGTCTCCGCGCCGCCAGAGCCGCCACTCACAGACCAGCCGAAATCCGCGATCAGGGTCACGGATTCTCCCAGCTTGCAGCAGCAGCCGCAGGAAAGATCCAAGCACGGGCTCCTGTCAGTGGGATACAACCAGGATTATGGCTGCTTTGCTTGTGGCACCGAGACGGGCTTCCGGATCTACAACTGCGAGCCCTTCAAGGAGACGTTCCGGCGAGAGTTTAGCCACGGCGGCATCGCCATCGTGGAGATGCTCTTCCGCTGCAACATCCTCGCGCTCGTCGGCGGCGGTGCCAATCCAAAGTACCTCCCCAACAAGGTGATGATCTGGGACGACCACCAGAGCCGCTGCATCGGCGAGCTCTCCTTCCGCTCGGACGTTCGCGCGATTCGGCTGAGGAGGGACAGGGTGGTGGTGGTGCTCGAGCACAAGATCTACGTCTACAATTTCTCGGACCTCAAGCTCCTCCACCAGGTGGAAACGATTGGGAATCCAAGAGGGCTGTGCGCGCTGTCCCCGGCGTCCTCCAACTCGGTGGTGCTGGCCTGCCCGGGGCTCCACAAAGGCCAGGTTCGCGTGGAGCAGTATGGGCTGAGGAAGACCAAGTTTATCTCGGCCCACGACTCGCATCTCGCGTGCCTGGCGCTCACTTTCGATGGTCGGCTCCTCGCCACTGCGAGCATCAAGGGGACGCTCATTCGCGTTTACAACACTTTGGATGGAACACAGCTCCAGGAAGTAAGTTCTACTCTCTCGGTTTCTTGTTTTCTTCGTGTTTTGTTTTTCCCTTGTTTTGTTGTGGCTTGTGCTCCGAAAAAAATCCTTTTTTGCTGTTGGTTTTATGTGAGTTTTCTGCTCTCGCAGGTTCGCAGGGGAGCTGATCGTGCTGACATCTACAGCATTGCCTTCTCGACCACTGCGCAGTGGCTGGTGGTGTCGAGCGACAAAGGAACGATTCACGTCTTTAGCTTGAAAGTTCCGGCCGAGGCGGATGCCGCCGAGAGCACCAGTGCTGTGGCTGCTGCTCCTGCTAACCAGGACGCTGGAAGCCCCGAGAGCCCAATCAAATTCGCATCGGGTAATCCAGGCTCCACTCTTTCTTTCATGAGAGGTATTTTTCTTGCATTCCAGCAGTGTTAGTTGTGTTTTTGTACACTCGCCTTTCGTACAGGGGTTCTTCCCAAGTATTTCAGCTCCGAGTGGTCTTTCGCGCAGTTTCGCCTGCCAGTCGAATCGCGCTCCATTGTTGCTTTCGGTCCCCAAAAGAACACTGTCCTCATCGTTTCATCCGAAGGAAGGCAAGCTTTTGTTTCTTTCTTTGCTTATACCACCTACATTACTTCTTATCGTTTGTTTTTGCGACACTGCCAGCTTCTATCGATGCTCTTTCGATCCCGTCAACGGCGGCGAGATGATCCAGCAAGAGTACGCAAAGTTTGTGTAGTTCTAAGCAACGTGTGTGTTCTTCCTGTACAGAAGTTTTAACTACGACGGTGTAAATATACTTCTATAGCATGAAAGCTATGAAAGTTTCCCGATGAAAATCGCCGAGGCGCGAGTGGCAAACGTGATTCACCGTCCAGGAGATACGGCATTACTCTCGAATCTGGCCGTCACCTCGATCGAGCTTGAGCTCCGTTCCAGGACACGCTGCTGCGCTCCAGCATTGCATCAAATAGCCGCTTGGATCGATCGCCCCCGCGTAGGCGCTGATCATCCTTGTTCCAGCAGTTTCTTCTCAAGGCCGAAGTGGAGTGTCGGGTTGATAGTCGTCACGTACATATCGAAGAGTGTGTTGTCTTCGTTGGAGGGCTTGCCAAGTTCAGAATTCCAGGCCCTGGTCGGAGGGTATCCAGGTCGTGGCCGAGTGTGTGCGTCCAGTCCTTGAGGTTTTGCCACCGCTCGTCCGCCATTTCCTGTGGTATGTGATCCAATGCCATGCAAGGATCTCCAGAGGCACCAGCGTGGGGTTTACTGCGGTGTAGACACCGAACTCAGCCATAGGAAACTCTTGTTGAGGCTTTCGAGCGTGCAAGGTTAGCTGATGCTTGATGTGACGCTCTAGATTATCATGCTTCTCTAGTGCTCCTTTTGTATGGAGTGCAATCCAATTATTTTAAAAGCGAGGCGAAAAGGTGGCGGAGAAAAACTTGCATTTGATCCCTCATGCAAAATTCCCTTTACAGCCCCAGCTGAGATAGGTGGAATAACGGGTTGTCACTGTAAATTGTGCTCAGCGCATCATGACCCCGAGGACCCTTCTGCCTCGAGTGGAGTGAAGCGCAGGTAGCCTCAGTAACACATTGCCAAGCTGCTAGAGTATGAACAAACAGGAGAGAAGAAACAAACTATGAAAATGCCCGCTGATTTCTGTGGGTGAAGAAATAATCTGTGAGTGTCATCCAAACTAGGATAGGATTTCAGGTACATCTTCAACAAGTCGTAAATCTCCTTTAACAGATCTGGTTTCTATAGTGGAAATAACTTATTATACTTCTCTTGAAACAAGATTGGTTTGTAATGCCAAGATAATACCAAAATCTACTATTTACAACTGTCTGGTATGAAGTTACAGATTAAAAATATCTATTTATGATTTAAAGCAAGCCACTAGAATATCATACAATCTATACACTTTATTCATTTGAATCATTATATTTATCATAAAAGAAATAATTTATGAATGATTCAGTAATTACAAATTTTATAGTATTTTTAATTTTTGGTTTGCTTAAACAAACCTGTAAAGGGAATGGGTTTTTAAAATATTCAAGCATATTCTAGCTGTAAGTGGATATAGCTAGAATATGCTTAAATATTTTAAAAACTTTTACCATCTAATAGTTAGTATTTATTTAGCTAAAAGTCTTTTACTTAATGAGTTGTTAGAGTTATTGATGTTGTTGGCACTGGAGTTGCCATGTACTATAGCAAGAGAGCATGATGTTGAGAAATCAAGTGATCAAAGAGATAATGAACATAGCTAAAGAAAGCATACTCTAATGCATATTAGGTTTATATAAATTAAAATTTAACTTATAAAGTTTGCAAAAAATTCAAAATCTTCTCAAAATCAGAATACTCTCAAATATGTAGGATGCTATATTGTATAAAATCTACTTCTTATAGGTATTGGGCTGAAGTGAGTAAACTTGTTTTTGCAATTAAACATAAAGAAGAATATTATATCATATGTACATCAATTTGATCTCTATTGACCACCATTTTGTTTAAACTTACAAACTCTTGGCAAGGCCTGTAAGTTGGAATATCATGTTTTGGGTTGGTACCCATGTTCTAAAAGAGCTACAAATTACAATGAAAGCAATGGGGGTGTATTTACGAATATGGGATTTTAAACTACATTAGCTATTTTATACTTTTTAGATGGTGGTGACTACATACTCATCAGGAATCGAACC